AAAAAATAATAAAATATCGAATAATTCTTTCGACCATCTCATGTAATTGAAATGTTTTCCTCGATCTTGAAGACGCATTTCTTGAATAAATTATAATACGCTACTTGCTCCGGTCTTCGTTGGAAAATCTCTCTAATGTGTCTCTAAAAAATATTCCTATCAGAAAATAAAATATTTTCAAAAACAAAATCGGTCAAAAGTGAAGGTACTGTTAAAATTCAGTAAAATACCTTTGCGCAAAATTAACTAATTTGACAAACCGCGTAAGCCACTAAAAAACTTTGTGTCGCGGAAATCATATTCCGAGTGCATCAACTACCTCTTAATTCTTCCAATAGATGTTCAATATAATTTTGGGAACCCACGACTGTTTAGGACTTCGTACCTACTATTAAATCTAACAATTGTAGAATTTTTTACTTAGATACAATGTATATTTGCGTGCTGGTAAATCCTGATTCATTCAGTAAAAATTTACCTCTTTTTCAGGAAATTCCTGGGCTACAAATCGCGGTTCCCGATGGATTTTCCACTGCTTCTGATGTTCTTTTGGATGCCACCGATGATAACTTTGATCTCGCCCAATACTTGTTTAGCGAGGGGACACCCGTTGCTGGCGACCAAAGTTACGTAGCTAGTAGAATAGAAGAAGCTCCTAGCAGAGAACCTTTGAATGATGGGAGCGAAATGCAGGTCGATGACTTTAAAATTGTGCAACCGAAAAAACACAAACGGAAAAGGAAAAAAATGAGGACTGATGAACAGAAAACACCTTTCAATGCAAATATGAGATTGGCAGCGCCAGTCAAATCGCTCGATTTGAAAGCTCGTAAATATGTTGTACAAATGAATGACCAATCCAAAAACCGAGACGACGAAGATGAGCCGGATGTTGATGTGGAAACAGTATTTGAAGGGGAGCATTCTGCTGCGACTTTGCTGGCCCTCCAGATTTCTAATGACCTTCGTCATAAGGACGGTACTGAGTCGGAAAAACGTCCTGAGCGAACAACGAATGCTGATAAAGTTTCACCAGATCTCCGTTTAGAGTTAAGTAGTAATAAGAGAAGAAAAGTGCTGACCAAAAGTAAACCTAAAGGGATGAAGATGAAGAGACTGGTGCAGTCAACAAACCTGACGAGAACCGCTGGCTATCTGAGAGGAATGCTGGACGCATTAGTGGTGAAAATTAGGTTACCCCACTGATAGCCTCTTTGCCATTAAAATCGAGAAAATCACCGCATCAATCAGTTTTCCAAAATTTGTTTTCCCCGCTTATAAACATTGAGGGACTTATATGGACAGGATATGGCCCACTCCAGACTCCCCGCTTGAGGTAATTATTCTTGAATTATATTTATTGCACTTGACTCAGAATCTTACCTCTTAAGACAAGCGGAGGAAAACATTAATACGAAAAATCGAAACGAAAAGTGTATCATCGATCCGAAAAGTGTATCATCGAAACAAAGTGTTAAAAAAACAAAAACTCTTCTTCATTTTTCTACAACAGGAATGGTATTACCAACAATATGTAAAAATATTCAAACATTCAAGCTGCAAAACTGTGTAGAAACTGTAGTTTTTTCATACTGTAGGATTCATTGTCAGCAACATTTTTGCGCTACAGATTTTTGCGATTTTTCCCGTGAAGCGTTGCTTGATTGCCATCTCCCATTTCTGCGTCAGCTTCAGAGCAGGTTTCATGTTTGCGTGGGTAGTTGGAATCATCAGTTTGCTAAACTCGCTTAAAAACCTGAATCATTCCTTGACTTGCAGAAACGACTTTAAAAATATCGAAACACACATATTTATACACAGCAACATCATCAGTTCATATTGGAAAAATTTCATTAACCAGTCTTTGAAAGAAAACAAGTTATCTTCTCAGTGTAGGTATACTACTCGACCACCGCTTTCTTCTCCTCCTGACTTTTATTACATTTGTTATAAATTTGTATTTATTATTTATTTGTTACGCCATCAGTATAACTTAGACCATAAGCCATTTAGACTAAGTTTCTGACTCGAAATTTAATGATTAATTTGAAACTTTGGAATTTAAAAACAATTTATTTCCAAATTACTACCAACAACGTTCAAAACTGCAATTAAAAATCTGGTAATAGTTTCGAACCCTATAGTTTAAGAGAGTTTTGTCCCGATGTGTGAAACTGTGTGTCCCTTTTGACGTCATTTCATTTTGTGTTTGCCCATGATTTAAAATAAAGCAATATTATTATTATTATTAACAATACACATTTAACTTGTAACCGAACGTTAACTATGACTCATGACTCTTAGACCGTAAATCTTAAGAGTGAATATCTATAAACTGAAGACTATATGACTAAACTATCTGACACTCAATTCTTATGACTTGACTATGACCTATCTTATGACTGAATGTTAGTTTCTGCTTTGACTTCTTTTATAGTTAACTCTAGTGTAAATTCACAAAGAATGATAAACTTAGGAAAATAATTATTCTATTGTGAGTCGTAACTCCATAAATCTGCATGATTTAGGTCATGCAGGAACTGTTGAAGTTTCCCTATAAATCATACTAACCCGGGATTCTAACTGGCACTTGAAAATTTTTGAATGCTGATAAGGCTTTATTGAGAAGCAAGCTGTTTTTGAACATGAATTTCACTACCCACTTGGCACAAAATTCAATATCCAAGTTCCTCTTTCGTTTTAGCAATATTTACTACCGGATAATTGGACAAATTTTAAGAAAATGTGCCAAAAAATTGGACAACCTCTCGTTAGTGCAAAACACTTGAATTAAAAGCTTTTTGGTCATTTACTTTTTCTCCTTTTCGCCAGCCATCTGGCTTAGCAATTACATAAGGGCCTTCTTATCTGGGACACATGATATCAATGTTTTTCTAGCGACTTCCAAATATTCTACTTTTTCTGCATGTTTGTTATTCTTCGCTCATCTATTATTCTCCATAATTAGTCAGTACTCCAATAGAATGTCGGTATTCCTGCATTTTATCAGATTCTGTCTGCCAATATTTCATTCGAAAACCCGCAATTTGGTCAGGCCTGAAGGAAATTTTGCAATTTATACTTAAAGTTTCAAAGCAACGTATCAATTTTGTTCTAATAATCTCCGTCAGATCGTATAAATTAGTGATTTATGAACGATAAAAATACTTGTAGGCATTGAATCAAGGAGGTATAATCGGTTTTGACATAATGTGGTAAGATAAATTTTAGCCTGTTTTCCGTTAGAATGACTTCTCACCGTCGCCTAGAAAAGCACTGACCAATCTGGAAGAAGTCACGAATAATGTCGAAGGTATGGTTAAGGTGAACTATCGAAGTTAAATTAAATAATTTTATTGAGGGTCGCTTCCATCTTTTAGACAGCACTTGGAGCAAGTTACCAGGGACAAGGAGATTCTGGATAAAAAGCTTCATCTTAGCGTCACAACAAAAGCTATATGAACGCAGTACTAATGAATACTTACCCGAACGGGATACGGACAATGAAAAACACTACTATATGGAAACTTTCAGTTTTGGCGAGTTGGATAGTATCATTCCTCCAGTTATTCTGGTAAAAATACTACAACTACTTTTTTGGAAACATCAATTTCTTCATTAGATTGTCCAAGTATTAGCGGGATTTTCTAGTTTCATAAGTTTTCTGGACGTACAGGGTTATTGATTGAACTTTGTCCACCCCGTTTTTACTTCTATTTTGAAATTTAGGAAAAACATTAAATACAAAAGTTGTATTTAACAGCGTCTAGTTCAATTTAAAGTAATACCAATTGAAATAGGGTGTTTCAAATTCAAGTGGAAAACCAAACTTACATTTTTTAAAGTGAATTGCCGCAATTTTTATTGCATATTTTAATTACACCCAAAATTCAAAAAGAATAATTTATAAAAAAAACGATACAACTTGAAGTGCAGTTAAACAAAAATTCGTAACTCCCAAACCACTCAGATCAACGAACTGAAATTTTCGCCCTATAAAGAAAAAGGCTTTGTCGAAACGTGGACCAATTTTTACTAAAATCCCCACTTCTGCTGATTTTTCAAAAAATGTTGAACTTGACGAGAAATAAAAAAAACCGTACAACTTGAAGTCTAGCTAGACAAAAATTCATAACTTCTAAACCACTTATGTCAACAAATCGAAATTTTCGCACCATATTAAAAAATATTGTATCGAAAAACGGACCAAATTTTCCCAATTCTGCTGATATAAGAAAAAATTACACGACGACAAACTGTGTTTAATTGCGACGGCAGTTAAATAAAAATTAGTAATATTCAAACCCCTTACATCAGCAAACGAAAGAACAAGATTTTATCGGAAAGGCGACGAAATTTCACTAAAATTACAATTTTAGCTGATTTTTCAGAAATTTTCAAACTTGATAAAAAACAGAACAATTGGGCAAATTTTGATCAATATCGGTTATTAACTCAAAACCAGTTGAAGATTCATTCTGAATTGGCCAAGAATTCTGAATATAATTCGAATGCGTAATAGTTGTAGACAACTTTTGCATTTAATATTTTTCTCAAAATTTAAAATTAGATGCAAAAACCGGGTGGCCAAAGTACCCTGTACATAAAAACATTCTATCTGTATCGACTTTCAGCTAACTGCCGGAGTCTTGGCTTCGATGTCTCAAACTGAACTAGACATGAGGACAATGCAAGAAAAAATCGAACCGTTGGAGAAAAATTTCGAAAAGTTAAACGTAAGAAGTAGCTTGGAATTTAGCGGCAGTCTGGATCAGCTAGAGGTATTTTTTGAGCGTCACTAAACCCCAGTGCTTATTGCTGAATTAATTTTCAGTCTGAACTCAGTTTATCGACAATAGATAACACCACAGACTCCCAACACAAGCTGGACTAGTCGAATACAACATTCAGTGAACCATCGGACAACAATTGTCCTAAGCAAGAATTCTGGACCGAAAAGACTACAGAGTTGGTTGGAAAAAATAAAACCCAATTTGCTAAGGTTTTTTCCCATTTTTCTCTTTCAATCAATTTCAATGGCCTTAAGGCAAACTCAGAAGAATGACAGAAATTGGACCATTTATTTGGAGGTGCATAAAGAAGCTAAATTAAAACAAAAAAATGTCCAGATTTCGCGTTTTCGGTCTTTATTGCGAAATGCTTATCTCTTTTACGCCGAGAAAGAATACAACAGCAAGAACGTAGGCCGATGAAACCAGGAACGCTCCGAGCATTTTTCTCCACTTTGAGTGTTCTTTTACAATTTTGTCTACACAATTGTCCTTGTAAGAGTCAAGTTTAGTGCAAAGCACCGTGTGACGGGGGCAACATTCTGGAATTAAATGGGTAACGTTTCGGAGAGTCGGCTTTTCATTTCCTGAAAAATTAATTTCTATTTTTAATGGGATGCAATTTCTAACAAACTAAAAGACTAAAAAGTCAGTATTCAGTGGGCTCAAGGTAAAAGTTCACTTCAGAAGCACAATAAAGCATTGCACAATGTTGGCTTAAAACCCTATCGCCACATCTAAAATTAATTGGAACCTCGACATTTCGATGGCAACCGAAGGTTTGATTTTAGTAGATTTTTACACCAACATTTTGCGTTTATGCTCTGATCTAATTTCTTATTTGTGTGGCAAATTTCTGAATAGTCACTGATATTTCCCAGCCCGAATTTTCCACTGTTGGCAAGAGTTGCATTTTTTTGTTAACTGTCATGCATGTTTGTCGATTTGTTTCCTTTCTAGCAGGAAAAATCCCTTATTGAAGCATCATACGACTGCAAAACCTCACCTTTGGACAAGTAAATGCCTTCCGTAACAATTACATCGCTACCTGTAAAAAAAACACTTTAATCAATTTTTTCGCCCCACTTTTGCACTCTTTAATCATTTGTAATTATACCATCGGGTCCATAAAATCCACAGCATTGGAAGTAATTCTGAAATTCTTCAATATCGCCTGACAAGCGTGGGACTTTTGTGTTGTACATCTCTTTTAGAAAACTCCTCACCATAAAACGCTCATCCATCAGCAGCGTAGCGGTGGCAAAAATCAATTGCGCCCCGAAAATACATACCAAGAAAATAAGGTAGATGATGTTGAGCTCAATTTGATGAAGTTTAAAGGCCAGCCCTCCCACGATGGTTACGAAACAGATAAATGCCCCTAAAATTATTGATGGAAAAGCCCCGGCAATGTTAGGACCGGGTATATGCGAGCAGTGGATTCCTAAGGACAGGAGAAGAATGGCAAAAATCAGCAGCACTGCGTTTACAACATACAGTAATAATTTTGAGTTAATACATAACATTGTCAGAAGCCATGACAGGGTGATGAAGGTGAAGCAATGGGCTAAGGCGGTTTTACATCATCAATTTCTTTAAAGTCTTGTGAGGCACCAGAGAAAATTTAAAGGACGCGAACTAATCAACTCGTCAGTTTTAATCTAATATATATATATAAATAATCTTTATTTCCTACAGAAAAAGGCTATCGACCCAATCGGTCTTTCTGCCCTTTTTAATCTAATATTTTCACAAAAAGTCAATTAAAAAGCATACAATAGGTTCAACTCTATCATCGCAGGTGAGGGAAATCAGCTCCCAAATTAGTGAGGAATTCTAATTAATATCTATTAAATAGAATTTGTGAAATATCAGTGATCTGACCACTGTTTTATTATATTCTGATTCCATGCATGCGCTTGTTTGATATCTACTGTGACACTGTGAGGTGGTAAAATGCATCTTTTACGTTCGTTCGTTTTACGTTTTCTCCGTTCACACCTTTTGTACTCTCTTTGTCGCTGAATTTGTCAAATATTCAGCAAACTATTTTGAAGAAACATTAGATGCTCCTGCAATACAACCGTTGCTCAATAGTTTGCTTTAGTTGCTCAATAAATTTAAATCGGACTTCACCTCTTGTTCAAATTCACGATGGTGTTTCCTTTCTGGTGGCATTGAAAATAACCTACAGCGTCTTTTGCTGTAGTAAAATTTCTATTTTTCTTTCGTATCGGGTGACTCTGATGAAAAAAGTTTATATCAACTATAGGTCAATTCGCTTTTGTTTTAAAGATATTAAAGAAAACACAAAAATGTTATAATCGACATTTACCAAAGATATTTAATAAAAATCTGCACAAAACTACAAAACCGGTTCAAAGTGAGAGCCGTCGTTTTCTATACATGCAACTAGTCGTTGCATTATGGAATTTTGCCTTCAATTCAAAATTCATTCAGCTCTAGGCACCAACAATTAGCTGCCTCAATTACACGATTCTTTAGCTCATTCCGAGTACTTTATTGCAATAAGCGCGAGTTTTTAGGCAACTCCGCAAAAAAGTTAGAAGGTTATAAATCTTGGGATCGAGATGGCCAATATGCAATGACAATATGCGATGACCTGAAATAATGTCTAAATTAGTTTAAATTGCAGCGGTGAGTTTTTTGGGAAAAACGCGTACATGTAAAGTTTTCCTTTTAAATGCATGTGGAGACGCTATGTTTTCCTGAAACCATATGGTTCGTACGATTTCAAAAGGAAATTGCCTGTAGGAAACCCAACAACTTAAGTTCCGTATGCGCGCAAAAAAATGTTTATATGGTAGGGAGTTGACTCCAAATAATAATGCTACATGGACTATATCCTGTCCAAATTGTCCCCTTTGGTGTGTTATTAATGCCACATATGGAAGATTCCATCATTTCAAATTCAGTGAATACATTCGGATGCATCACAGACTGTTTCCCGCAAATCGATCGTCCATTTCGTTCATACGCTCAAAGAGAGCGCTACTATTTTCGTTAGCAACATTAATGGCCCGTATATTAACATTCCAACATGTTGGAGCGTTTTCATTATTATGGATTTTATGATGAACTCACCGCGCAGTAAACTAGAAAGTAACGTAAAATTTATTAGCCACAAACAACCGATATTAAAGGGCTGCTCAATAATGCGGTGGGTGCCGCATGCACCGACCAACGTTAAACTCGATTAAGCACTGAATCAAACTAAGAGAAAAGTTTTATATACCGACAAAGTTTGGAGGGATAATCTGGTTTAAATTTAATCTTCCGATGTTGGAGGTTAAGCAGGCTAATGTTGGAGCCTGGTAAGGATTGCAGTTTGTCATTCGGACAATATGAGAGTGTTTTACTAATAATAGGAATCGTTATATTAAATAAGGCTTAGATTAAGGTCTTTAAATCTATTGCAAACTCGGCAAATTCATTTAAGGTTTTGGTCAATTCTAATCCCGAATTTTTTTTGTTTGCTATGATTAATAGAATATTATCTCGATCATCTATTGTGTTTCAGAATAAATGATGGGCGTTTTCGCGGATAAGCTTGAGACAAATACGGAAACCTAAGTGATGTGGCGTTGAAATCTACTTCTGTTTTATTCCAGGCCTGCTATCAGTTAAAGAGGATGGGTCACATTTCTTGTCCTGTACTTTACTTTCTATCGCGGTACAGTTTACAGCTCTTTAACCTCTTTCCCGTTACATCTGATCCAGTAGCTCTTCAAATATTAGTGAATCAATAGAATGGAATATCATTTGAAGAACAAACACACAAACTGAGAATAAAACGAAGAAGCAGGAATATAAATGTTTATTTTGTCAAATTGAGTGTTTCAAGTTTTGTAACAGTTAAAGGTGCAAACAAAAATATACATTTTACTTGCTTCAACTTTAATTGCGTGCTTTGACTTTGCTTGGAGTGTTAAACATTTATTACACGGCTAATGTGAATTGTTTAGTATTATATAGGAATTTTTCATAGAAAACCATTTAATTAGTTTAGGTAATTATTTGGCACTTCAGCGCTCATGCATCAGACGACTGCTGTCACTAAACATTCCCCAAAAATTGTTCATCCAATATTTTCAATATTCTCGGAGTGTGAAAATGCCACCTGAGTGATGCAGAATCATCTGACTAGCTTATCTGAAAATCTTGCTAGTAGGAAAGTCTATCTGCGACATTGATGGATCGGAGAAGAGAACGTTTAGAATTCCCTGAGGGTTCAGTAATTTTACAATCACACTTTACACACGCTGCCGTCTGCCGTCTTCAACGGCATATGTAATTGGTTTATCCAGGATATAGTGAGAGTATATTAGGAAAATTGCACGCAAAGCTTTAATACTCCTTATTTTTATAAAGTCGTCTCCAATTCGTTTGAATAAACTAAAGCGGGTTGAAAGCAAATGCTATTTAAAGAGCTTATCGTATAAATTACCCAGACCGTTGGAACCACAATCAGCGGCCATATAAATTGCATTGAATAAAACAAGTTTAATTAATAATAAAGTAGCAATAAATCAACGCTGTTCTAAAAAGTATGCGCCTATTTAAAATTCTCCTACAGCACTCGATAAAGGAAAAACCGAGGCGAGAGCATTTTTAAAGCACCAGTTTCTCATTTTTGTATTCGAGACGGATGGTTCTCTTGTGGTTGCTTTTGATCTTAATACTTAACTCGGTGTGAATTACTTCCCAAAGTTTAAGGGGTCAAGGGCAATTTGCTTGCGCTAAGCTCATGAATACATCTTGGCTTGTTTTCTTCAAGTAAACTTTTCCCTTAATGAACACTGGTTTTGTCTCATAAAAGCTAAAAAACTTAATTGATAGTCGACTAATTGAAAATAATTTATTCACAGCATCACTCCTGTAATTTTCGCCGAAGATAATTTGCATGAAAATAGAACTTACTTTGACTCAAATCAAGTCCCAGCTAATTACTTACGTTTGGAACTAATTTGTACTCGCCCGGCCAGAAGCTGTTAATTGCGAAGCTCATACAATTTTTTATAAGTAAAACTGTGTACAAAAGTAATTGATATAACATCTAACAAAAAACTAAAAGGAGTTACATCAATAATTAAAAGCGCCCAACAATATGGTACTTCTTCTAATTTCTTTAATGCCTAATTTCAAATGTTTTTTTGTTGGATTTGTGTACAATGACTATAAAACACACCAGGCTTGGATTTGCAATTTAAAATAATTAACTCATTAAATAGGAAGTAAAATTCGAAAGGAAAAACATGATTGCCAAAAATCCCGTCATAAGAATTTTAATTTTAACATGTTAGATTGCCGAAAGATACTTATCGTAATATTTAATGGCGTCATTTTCCATCCAACTTTGCCCATTAGTCGATAAAAGATCCGAAATTTATTGGTTAATTATGTGAAAGTGCGAAATGAAGTCGATATTAACGGAAAACATGATTCCAATATGAAGCTGACTGAATCATGAAAACTTTCGTCATTATATTTCTTAGAGCTGTAAAAACGTAAAATGAACTTTTAGGATGTTTTCAGCAGTTAAGGTAAAAAGTTCTGTAAAATTGGAAAATATAGTGTTTAGTCAGAAGCTGGAGGATCCCGAGAAACTTTAATACTCAATCAAATTTTTGCTACTAAAATCAATTTTCTCCATCATCAATATTCTCATTACATCTTAAATTTATTTCCAGTTATTCGACGCATTTTCCATAGTCAGTTTTCCATAAAAATGTTCCAGTTCCGAATTGATAAAGTGGAAATAGAGCTGCCTGTGAATTTATGTGACACTTATTCTTATTAATGGATCTTTTATTGGATTTTAATGGCGACAATAATTCATTTTTTGCTTTAATCAGAGTCATTTTGATGTGCCGGAATCTGATGAACCTTAGAGAAGAACGGATTTCAAGTTAATTTTTTTTACAAAATTTCACGTAATCTGAGTATCTCTGAAAACCGTTTACTTACTACTCTTTATATAAAACAATTAATTTGCAACCAGACCCTGTATGCGACCGGGGATGTTCTGCACAAGAAGCATGATTTTTTTGTTACAGTTGATAGTAATTTGTCGCTTGTTGTAAGAAAAATTGTTGTGTAATTTTTAATACAATCAAATTCTTTAAATGGTATTTAATAGCAAATTTTGAATTCATTGAGTAGAAAAATATCAGCGAAAACGCAACAAACCTATGCAGTTTTACATAAAAAAAATCAATGAACTTTTGCTTGCCAAAACTGATCATTATTTATGCTTAGATTCTTATGAAAAATTCAATTAAAATCTCCAAAGATTTTTCAAAGCAAAGTAGTCTTTTGAAGATGTAAGAACTTGTAATCTTCAAACTTAGGATGCAGAACAAATTGGAAAAACTGGGTTCTGTTCTTTCAGGTAAAAAATGCCTAAATTACCGTTCCAAACTCACACATTGACTCAATTAATTTGATAAAGGCCATAGAAAAATTATCAATTTTGAAACTTGTTTTGCCCTTTTCTGATTAATTTTGGTTAATTCCTACA